GGAAGGCCCTCTATGAGGTGGATTGATTCAGTGACTGGGATAATCAGGACGGGAGTGTCAGAGACAGTGCGATTGGCACAGGACAGAGCAGAGTTTAGGGCTGTTGTACATAGGGTCACTGTGAGTTGCAAGCGACTCGACGGCACATAACAACAACAACAACAACTTTGTACCTTCTGTGATATGTTGTGCTGGAGGGAAAAAACCCAAAAAAACCCAAATATCCCTGAGCTACTCAGCAGTCAAAAAATCAAAAGACAAGTTGCATTGGGAAAATCTGCTGTCTAGGATCTCTCCAGAGTGCTAAAGAGCAACAATGCCAGTCTAAAGCCAAACAAAGGCTCACATCGTCTTCAGAATTGCTTGCTGTGCATCTGAACAGTGATTAAGGATAGCAGAAGAAGAAGCAAAGCCTTTGTGTTGTGGTGCTGGAGAGGACTATTGAATATCCCATGGACTGCTAAGAGAACAAACATACCTTTCTGGAGAGGATGTTTCTTGGAGGCAAGGATGGTGACACTCCCATCTCCATACTGTGAGCATGTTTTCAGGAGAAGTCAGTCCTTGGAGAAGGACATCATGCTTAGAAGGGTAGAAGTTTAGCACAAGAAAGGAAGAGCCTCAACAAGATGGGGGGTTGATACAGTGACTGTGGAAATGAGGTCAGGCATGTTGGAGATGGTTGATTCAGGGTAGAGGAAATCATAGTCAGATTTGGCAGTGCATGACAATGACATGTTTTCCTTTAATGAAAGCGCTTTTCTAAATAGTAAATGAGGTGTCAGAGAAGAGCCTAATGTAGTATTTGCCTCTTCATAGATGATTTATTGATGTTAATGCCTCTTCATTTTTAGATTTGTGTGGGAGAATGAGTCCTATTTGATTCTTTAAGAAAAATAATTTTGTGGCTTTTTAAAATTCAGTAAAATTAATAAAATAGTTTTATGGCTTTTTATAATTCTCTCAGTTAAAAACCCAAGAATATTCCTTTAAGAAAAAGACATTGAGTACATGTTTGCTATATAATTCCTTGGAAAAATATAGCTAAATTTTTGGGAATTATGAAGCTAGGGTGGTTGATTGGTTTTAATCTAACTCTTTAAAGTGAATCTCCTGTAGTTTAGGATTTTGCTTTCAGATTTGTGTTGGGAGCTGGTCCTGTTAGCCATTCACAGACTGATGGCCTTCTTTAAAGTAGGATGCTTGTATATAGTTCTGTGACAAGAATTTTTTTTGTTTATATGTGCATATACCTACATTTTTTTGTACATTCATAACGTAATCTCATTTTATTTTTTAGAGTGGACCTAGTGATCGAGAAGATGGCCTCATCAAAAGGCATCAAGTGACAGATTTGGAAAATGATGACCTCCCAAATCTTAATGCTAGTGACTGTGAAAGTGAGTTGCTTCACAGGCAAAAGGATAGTGATTCTGAATCTGAAGAGCACCTAGAGCCTCCTGCAAGTGATTCAGAAAATGACACCAGTCATCAAGGGAGTGACTCTGAGAGTGAAGAGACCAGGAAATTACCTGTCAGTGAATCTGAAAATGAAGAACTTCTTAATGGGCATGTGAGTGATTCAGAAAATGAGGATGTACAAAAGCATCCTGCTAGTGATTCAGAAATTGAAGAGCTCCAGAAAAGCACTGCCAGTGACTCTGAAACAGAATCTGCTCTAAAGCCTCAGGTTAGTGACTCAGAAAATGAGGAGCTCCCCAAACCTCAGGTCAGTGACTCAGAAAGTGAGGAACCTCAGAAGAATCAGGCTAGTGATTCTGAAACTGAGGAGATTCCCAAACCTCCTATCAGTGATTCTGAAAGTGAGGACCCTCCAAAGCACAAGGCCAGTGACTCTGAAAATGAAGGCCCCTCAAGGCACCCAGTAAGTGACTCAGAAAATGAAGAGCTTCCTAAACCCCGAATTAGTGATTCAGAAAATGAGGACCCTCCTAGGAACCAGGCCAGTGACTCTGAAATTGAAGAGCTTCCCAAATCCCAGGTCAGTGACTCTGAAAGCGAGGAACTTCCCAAAGCTAGAGTTAGTGACTCTGAGAGTGAGAAGCCACAGAAGGGACAGACTAGTGAGGATTCCTCCAGGCTTAAACCAAAGATGGAAACAGAAGATGACAATGATGAGGAGAGCAGGAGAGTAGATGAAGAAATGCAAAATGAGTCCTTTCCCTCCAGTAGCCATTTAGAAAGGAAAAGATTTCACAGTTCTGACAGCGAAGAGGAAGAAGCCAGAAGGCTGAAAATTGACAGTGATGAAGAGAAAGGAAAAGCTGAGAAAGTAGCAAAGCGGAAAGCAACTGTTCTTTCTGATAGTGAAGATGAAGAGAAAGCATGTAAGGAATTATTTTGGTTATAGTCTTAATTTCTACACTTCTGACTGAAGCATTGCATGTTTTCTGCTTTATCTGTATTTTGTTGTTCAACTTAATGGCACTAGAAAATTATTTACCCAGGTTTTCATTGACTCAGTTGCCTCAAAGTGGTAAGCTAGATTACTGTCAGTAGGAATAGAAAAGTTGGTTTGGGGTTTTTGTTTTTCCCATCAGAATGAGTAATGTTTCAAAGAAAAATGAGCACATGAAAGGTGCCTATCTCCCTGCCCACTGTATCCAGAGAGAGCTGCCTATCTCTTTGACAGCTACTGCGTTAGATCCTATACAAATAGTAACTGAACTATCATGACAAATGCTGGTAAATACTCGACTATGACTCTACAAACTATTCTAGTCTGCTACTTGGGACTCTGTTTTCATGGATGATTTTCACTTGATGATACTTTGCTATGAAATTTTCATTTCCCTTACAGCTTTATAATACATGTGACCAGTTTGTTAAAATGATGAGAAATATCAAATTGGCTGGCAGCAGTGCAGAAGCATAGAACTCTGTAAACCCTCTTCTATTACTACTTATTGAATACTCTTGAATTAACTATGATTGACAGTGATCCTGTTAAAAATGGATCTAAACCTTGCCCTGTCCTGTGCCATCCTCATTATTGCTAACGTACCCGAGCTCATCATTACAGTCACTGATTCAGTCCATCTTGTTTAGGGTCTTCCCCTCTTTCACTGACCCTTCACCTTTCCAAGCATGTTATCTTTTTCCAAAGACTGACCTCTCCTAACTATATGCCCAAAATATGTGAGATGAGTTTCACTATCCTTGCCTGCAAAGAGCACTGTGCTTGCACTTTTTCCAAACATATTTGTTTGTCCTTTTGGCAGTCCTTGGGATATTCCACACTATTCTCCAACACTACAGTTCAGACATTAATTTTTCTTTCCGTCATCTTTTTCACTGATCTTCTTTCAGCTACATAGTAATAGAAAAGGTCATGGTTTGGTTCAAGTTCATTTTAGTCTTCAAACTGACATCATTGTTCTTCAGCATTTTGGAGATGTCCTTCACAATTAACTTTCCTGCTGCAACACATCTTTTGAATCCTGGCTCCTGGTGCCAAGAGTATTGATGTGCATCCAAGCAAAATTAAAGCATTGAAATTTTCTGACTTCTCCATCTATCATGATGTTGCCTGTTTGCCTGGTAATGAGGAATTATGGGTTTGGGTTGGGTTGTTTTTTTTTTATGTTAAGATGTAACCCATATTGAAAGCTATAGTCTTTGATCCTCTCCAGTAAATGTTTCAAGTCTTCCCCACTTTCAGCAAGCAAGGTTTTGTCATCTGCATAACACAGGTTATTGTTGAGTATTCTACTGATCCTGATGCCACATTCTTCTCATATTGTCTAGCTTCTCGGATGTTTTTTTCTACATATAGATTGAATGGTTATGGAGAAAAGATAAGCACTGATACATACTCTCTCGACTTTAAACCATACAGTATTCATTTTGCTCCATTTGGGAAGCTTCTTTGTCTCAGTATAAGTTTTGCATCTCATTCTTTTTTTTTTTTTAAATTTTATTTTATTATTTTTGTGTGCGTGTACCATCAAATCAGATCTGACTGGTACAAGAGGAGATTGTCCCTCCTTCCCTGGCAGAGCATCTGGTGGATTCGAACTGTTCGCCTCTGGGATTGTAGTTACAACTCCTTGCCACTAGGCCACCAGAGCTCCCTGCATCTCATTCTTTTAAACATCAACCATCATTTCTTAGGATCCACAGAGTCAAAGCCTTTGAATGATCAATAAAACACAAATATACATTCTTCTGATACTCTGTTTTAAGCCAAGATCCATGTGATAACAGCAGTGATGTCCCTCATGTCATGTCTTCCCAATCCAGCCTGTATTTCTGGCAGGTCTCTGTCAATATACTCTTATAGCCAATTTTTAATAATATTCAGCAGTGTTTTGCGTGGATATGATACTAAGGATATTGTTTAGTAATTTTTATGTTGGGTTACCTTTTTGGGAAATGGGGACAAATAAGTAGATCACTTTTAGTTGGTTGGCCTGGTAGTTGTCCTCCAAATTTCCTGGCATAGCTTGGTGAATACATCTAAGGGTGGATCTATCTATTAAAACATGCCACAATTGAAATGAAAAATAAACAACCTAAATTTTAAAAAAAAACCAAAAAAACAACAACATGCCACAAGACCCCATCAGTTCCTGTGGACTTATTTTTTTTACTGATGTCTTCAATTCAAGCAGTCAGGTATGGTGCTCTCACTCAGCAAGGCAGTGGGGCAAGGCCTAGGACCAGATATTGAGAGACAGGTGCAGTGGTCTTACTTGGCTCTTCCTGCCTGCCACTAATGTTATTGTCAAGTATGACTCAGTGATCCTTTGAACAACAAATCTGAACCTTATCCTATCCTGTGTCATCGTCATCATCTCTGATAACACTTGAATCTGTTGCCACAGTTGCACTATTTCAGTGCAACTCATCAAGGGTCTTCCTCTCTTTTTCTCCACCTTTACAAGCATGCTATTGCTCTGCAAGGAATAGCCCCTCCTGACAACATGCTTGAAGGATGTGAGAAGAAGCTTTGTCATCCTTGCCTCCAAGGAGCTTTCTGGCTGCACTTTCTCTAAGACATATTTGTTATTTTTGTAGTCCATGAGATATTTAGTACTCTTCTGAAACAGCACAGCTCAGAGACCTCTATTCTTCTGTCCTCCTTAATTTTCTAGCCTTAATATGCATAACAAGTTATTGAAAAGACCATGGCCCAAGTCAGGTGCTTCTTAGTTTTCAGACTGACATCATTGGTCTTCAATAATTTGGAGAGGTCCCTGCCAGCTGACTTAACCAATCTCCTGATCTCTTGACTGCTGGTACCAAGGATGTTCATTGTGGATCCAAGTAAGATTAAATTATTGACAACTTCAGTTTTTTCTGCATCTGTTATGATGTTGCTTATTGGTCCAGTGGCATGGGTTTTTGGCTTGTGTTGAAATGCAATCTACATGGAAAGCCGTAGTATTTGATCTTCTGCAGAATTTCAGGAATTACAAGTCCTCTTCTCTTTGAGCAAGCAAAGTTGTATTATTCATACATTGCATGTTATTGCTAAGTCTTCCTCTGATCCAGATCCCACATTCAGTGAGGCAGTTTTAAATGGATGCTGCACATCAGTCTAATCATATTCTCTGTTTCTCAAAATTAGAATAACCAATCTCTCCACATCTTCTCCAACATTGTTGTTTACTGTCCTATTTATTAAACTTTGCCACTGCTCCAGGAGTGGGATGGTATTTCATTGTGGTTTTGATTTGCATCTCTCTTTTTTTTAACTTGAAAAGCAATTTTTATTGAATTTGGAAGAAGAGCTTCACATTCTGCATCTCCCTTATTGTCAGTGATTTTGAACTTCTCTTCACATGTCCATTGGCCATCTGAATGTCTTCCTCTGTGTAAAATATTTCCATGTCTTCTGCCCATTTTGTAATTGAGTTATCAATGTTTTTCTTGTGGAGGACCTGTAGGATTCTGTAAACTTTTTTCTTATGAGACCCTTGTCTGAAATGGCATTGTCAAATGTTTTTTTCCCAGACAGGCTTTCTTTTCACCCTGTTGGAAAAATTTTTGTTGCGCACAAGGACTTAATCTTTAGAAGTCCTCATTGATGTTCTCTCCTTGTTGTGCATTTCTGGCTGTATTTGTCAGCCTCTTTATACCATAGGCTAGACCTTCTAAGTTTGGTCCCATTTTGTCTCCTGTGATGTTAATGGTTTTGGGCTTTTAGGTCTCTGATCCATCTTGAGTTGATATTTGTGTATGGTATGAGATGTGGATCCTGCTTTATCTTTTTTCAGGGAGAAGTCGGGTTTGGTCAGCACCATTTGTTGAAGAAGTTGAAGGATTACTATATGTACCAAAGTCTAGGAAAGCAGAGGGAGGCGGGAGGAGGGAGACTGAGGGTGAAGAGGAGGGGAAGTCACCAGGTTGCGGAGTTTGGTGGACAGCGCAAGGAGGGTGAAGGAATTAGGAAAGACCTGATGAGGACCTGAAAAGATGGTGGGCATGAATCAGTGGTGATTAATTTTATAAAACAATGTATGGGAATGAGAATTTGAAACTCAGTGTGAATGGAGGAATGCGTGAAACACAATGTATACAACTTTGTGTGCAAATCAGTGTAACATTTAAAAAAAATTAGGATAACCATTGATACTCACTTTTATGTGGAAGAATTTTTGCCCTCTTTTGAACACCTGAGCAAAGTAACAGTAACTTTGGGCCTTTAATTATTTTTGTTTGTCTTTTAAACAACACTGTTATTAGATGCTTTGGTTTTTGGCTCATAACTGCTATTTTAGAAAGTCTGTTATAGAATGACTGAGAAAATACTCACTTTTATTTATTTTTGATAGCAGCAAAGAAGAGTCGTGTTATCTCTGATGCAGATGATTCTGGTAGTGATGCTGTATCAGAGAAAGTAGGCAGAAGAGAAAAGACTGTACCATCAGACAGTGAAGATGAAATAAGGAGAGAAGAGTTGTCTGATAAAAAAAATGAAGAGAATGATCTATTTGGGAGTGACAGTGAGTCGGGGAATGAAGAAGAGTAAGTTGACAATGTAATATGAGTTCTTAAGGATTCTTCTAAGGTGATGGAGAGGTTGTCTTTGACATTTTAGTAAACTTTCATTAATCAATTTTCTTTTGGAATCTATTTTAATGTATGCTGCTTGAATACATAATTTGAGTACTCAGCGTTTTCATTTTAGTGTCTGAACTATTGCACTGCACAAATACTGTGTGAAGTTAAAAGCAGCAAAGAAGGCATGTTGTGAAATTCCATTTATGTGATGTTTAGGAGCTGGCAAGACTCAACTTTGGTCATGGAAATGTGTAAATGATTACCTCTAGGGTGTTGATGCAGGGGACTGACTCTAAAGAGACATGTGAACTTTGTGGAAATTTGAAATTGCTCTCTATTTGATTGGGGTGCAGGTTATATGAATGCGTACATTCGTCAAAGTCCATTAATATCTGCACATTTTGCTACATGTAAACAATACTTTTCTTTAAAATTATAAAATGTTTTATAATTCTTAAGAAAATGAAAAGAAAACGAGTAGAACTTTATTTGTTCATTCTCTAGAAACCTTATTGCAGATATATTTGGAGAATCTGGTGATGAAGAGGAAGAAGAGTTTACTGTAAGTATGAAATAAATCATTTTTGTATCTGTGGTGTTATGATTGTGGTTCTGTAACAGGTTCTTCCAGTGATGTGGTAGCATGTTCCACCTGGATTGGGATTTATGGAGTATAAGGTAGAGATTAAGGCTATTTTCCACTTGAAATATCCAGTTAACCTAGTACCTTTTACTGAAAAGATCATCCTTTCTCACTAATCTGCAGCGCAATTTTTGCCATAAATCTAGACCATCTGGACTATTTTTTTCTACTCCATTTGTTGTTGGTTTTTTGTATTCTGTCAAGTCACCTGTGATTCACAGTGACCATATGTACCACAGCTCTAAACCCTCTTTTATCTTGAGCCATTGTTTCTGATACACCTACCCCCATTACCCTAGTAACTGAGTCAGTCCATCTCATCCAGGGTCTTCCTCTCTTGTGCTGTCTCTTCTCCAGTACCACCACTTAAAGGAATCAGTTCTTCTGTCATCCTTAGTCATTGTCCAGCTTCCTGAAATGACTGGAACATCAACATAGAACTGCCAAATGTGCAGGCTGGGTTTAGAAGAGGATGTGGAACCAGGGATATTATAACTAATGGATCTTTGGAAAGCAGAGAGCACCAGAGGAATGCTTATATGTGTTTCGTTGACTATGCAAAGGCATTTGACTGTGTGGATCACAACAAATTGGCTAACTCTGAGAAGAATGGGAATCCCAGAACCCTTGATTGTGCTTATGTGAAACCTGTATTTGAACCAGGAGGCAGTTGTTAGACCAAGGAAACATTGCATGGTTCAAAATCAGGAAAGGTGTGCACCAGGGATGCATCCTATCTCCATGCCTTTTCAGTCTATATGTGGAACAGATCATCCAGGAGGCTGTGCTCTGTGAGGATGATTGTGGCATCAAGATTGGAGGAAGACTCATCAACAACCTGCGTTTTGCAGATGATACAACCTTGCTGGCCAAAACTGAGGAGAACCTGAGGCATTTGCTGCAGAAGGTCAAGGACTACGGTCTTCGATATGGATTGTAGCTCAACATCCAGAAAATAGAGATTATTGCCACTGGTCCAATTAGCAGCATCATTTTAGACAATGAAGAGATTGAGCTTGTTAACAGCTTCAGCTTGCTTGGAACCACAGTCAGCATTCTTGGTACCAGCAGCCACAAAATCAAAAGATGAATTGTATTGGAAAAGTCAGTTGTCAGACACCTCTCCAAAAGTCCTGAAGGGCAGTGATGGCAGTCTAGAGACTAAGGTGCACCTGATCCAGACCTTGGTCTTCTACTCAACTGGTCTCTTTAGCCCTATCCCAATCACTGTGTAACAGTGATGGTTGCTAGTTTGTTACCCTTCAAGATTGTCTTAGCTATTCTTGAACTGTGTAACATTTCAACTATGCTTTCTCATTCTTTCTTTCCTCCCCCTCAAAAGCAAGTACAGATAACATTTTATGAGTACCCAACAAAGACATTTAAAATGTGTAACAGAGTTATTAGACAAAACAGTCCTACCACTCAGAGTTTAAAACCTTTTTGCTAGACAATTGTTGGATCAAAAATAAATCCTCTTAGCAGTAAAATAAGATAATGTGAGAGTAGATGAGTTTAGATGTAGATGACTTTAGAGTCTAATTGAAGATAGATGAAAACCAACAGATGTAAACGTAAGGAAGACAAAATGGAAATCATTCAACAGGTATTTGGGAGCCAGTATACCATAATCAGACATATTGCTCCATTTGATTTATGAGGCTGTAAAGCACACAAGAGGAGATTACCCATCTTCCCCCACCCCCACCCCCCCAAAGAGGTGCTCATGGTAGAGTCAGATGTGTTAACAGTGCAACTCCCTATGGACTAGGCCACCAGAGCTCCTATCAAGATAGAGCAAGGTTTTTACCTGTTCATAGGATTGCTTGAGGTCTAGTTGTTTGGACTGCGCCTAACAGCAGCAATAACACATATACCAACCATATTGTTGCGAGCATGGTCCTCATAAAGCTCATGTTCATTTAAGCAGCATATTGCAAGATTAAGATGTATTTTTCTAGTTTGATTGGAGAGTTCACATCAAATTTATTATAGATTCAGTTCAGTGAGTAAAAATATATACTGGATGAACCATTGGGAAGATTTTTTAGTTTCTTTTAAATTTGGCAGAAGAGTTAGAAGCTATAAACAATTAATTACTTCCATTTTTAAAAAATAAAAAACAAAGGAATTTGATAAATATCACCAAAAGCAAAGTCAGACTGTACAAATAAATGTTGGAGTGATTACGCAGTTTCTGTCATTTACAGAGGATTTACTTCCCTAATTTTTGAAGTTTTTTTGCACACTGGTAAGAAATGATCACTGACCTGACAGAAAACAGGTAGTATGACATTGAAAGGTCAAATAGAATGACTTATTTTTTAAAAAAACATAAATGCATTTAATAGTCTCAGGATAATTTCCATATACCTGCTATTTTTGTTGTTGAAAATTCCCAGTTTTTCCCTTATGATGTGTCGTTGCATCAGAACTAACTCATAGCTGACCCTTCAGAGGGCTTTCAGGTACTGTGGATTTGAAGCACCTGTCACTGGGTTCCAGCACAGCTTCTTACCACTAAGCCATTTGATCTCTCTTAAAAGAGAATGCAAATAAAGCTATATTGAAATGATTTCCGTCTAGAGATTGGTAAAGTGTGATAATTTGATATAATAAAAAGAGCAGATGGATTATGATGCATTCATACTTTGCCGGAAGAAGAGTTGATTGTTATAAACTCTATTGGTAAAACTAGGAGTGCAGTTCAGCAGTATTTCTCAAAATTTGTAGTAGCCAATATCTAAATGTCAGTATTGGAGCCATGATGGTTCAGTGGTAGAAATCACACCTTCCATGCAGAAAAGCAAGATTCCTTTGAATACTGATGTTTTGTTACGATGCTGAATTAGATTTCACAAAGCTTCTATGCTGAGGCTGACAAAAAAGACCCGTCTACCTGAAAAATCAACCACTGAAAACCTTATGGGCCTCAGTTTTCCCATCTTGTACATGGTACCATGAGACAGGAACAGCTCAGTGATGGCTAACTGTAATGACAAATTGTCAATAAGTCAACAAATGTTGACAACAGCTGTATGGTTAAAATAATCTAAAACTTTGAGAAAGAATGAGGCTAGACCCTGTATTTTTACTTCTAATCTCTGGTAGAAGCTCGAGGAACTCTACTAGACTAACTGGGTAGGGAGTTGGGCTGCCAACCCAAAGTCAGTGCTTTGAAGTTATTGTTGTTGAATGAGTCAGTATGAACTTATAGCAATCCCCTGGTGACTTAATGGCAATAAATTGCACTGCCAAAATCAAATGTGCATGATTTGAGTCTACCAACTGTTCTGTGCAGACAGATGGATGATCTCCTCCTGTGTAAGTTTCTGCCTCTTAAAACCTACTGAAGGGTCAAGTATTGGTCATTTTCAACTTGACGGTACTTAACAACATAAGACAGAAAATCCCAGGGGACAGACATTTGAAATACAGCCACCTGACCAGCTGGCTGGAAGAGATCATTATTTCCCCAAAAGTGATCCAGCAGAATGTGGAAATTATTGGTCACTATTAATACCAGAGGAATGTCTTATCTGTGCTTCATTGACTGTGCAAAGGCATTTGACTGTGTAGATCATAACAAACTGTGGCTGACTCTGAGAAGAATGGGAATCCCAGAACACTTGATC